ACCTTGACATCATTTTTCACAGAGAGATACAGAGAGAGAGAGAGAGCCGGTTACCACAGATTCTTGTAAGGAAGAAGCAATGGGTGATTGCTTTGGTAATTGCTTTGAGCTTGACCAGACGGCAAGGAATGAAGATCAAGAATCGGCGGAGGGATCGCGCCAAAGGGAAAGGGATGATGTTGTCACGGGCGAGTCGCCTGAAGAAGTTTCGATGGGTGATGAACGGGATAGTCCCCAGTCCATGCGAAACATAGACAGCGACGACGATCAGCCAAGGGTAACAGTAACAACAGATCGAGAAAAGATTCTGGATCAACAAATGCGTGAAGAAATTTCGAGGGCCGGCGATCATCAAACTGCAACAAGGGAAATTGAGCCGGAGGAAATGAACACTCCTGGTCCTGATGAGGACGATCCTAGGGGGACAATGACACCCCATCAAGATTTGATAGGCAAACGTAATGGGGAGATTATCCGCCCAGTGGACATCCTGCGGGCGCTAATACTAATGTATCTCTCTTATTACCCCGTGGCGTTTCCAGCTATCCTCATGTTCGCACCCAATTGGCTGAACCTTGTAATGGAAAGTGATGAGAGCAGTGATGAGAGCAGTGATAAGAGCAGTGATGAGGAGGAAAGTTCACAAGAGTTCAGAGATTGGTTGGAGCGAGATGATCTCGTGGTTGAAAATACCGCGAGGGGGCGGATCGTATGGCCAAGACGGTTCGTGAATGTGTTTGAGCAACATGAGGACGAGGAGGAGGACGAGGAAACCGGTTAAAGAAGATGCTTCGCTTTTCTCATTTGTTTCTTCTTGTTCTAGTGCTTTGCTTGGCCTGTGGATAAAATTAAGTCTTTCATGGTTCAGTTCTCTTGTGAAAAAAAGATTTTGTCTTTCATGGTTCAGTTTTCTTGTGAAATAAAGATTTGTCTTTCAAGGTTTCGCGGTGAGTGTTTTGATTCTAAATCACGTTACCTGTGTTTCCGCTCAATCCAGTCAGGAACGTTGTTGTTGTTGTTGTTGTTGATGAGTCCGTTATTGGCGCTGTTCTGCGGAATGCCATTATTGATAGGGAGGTTTGCGCCATTAGGCTTGGCAAAGGGGACTTGCGCACTGAGCGCTGGATTAGCCACAATGCCAGTCACGGCCCAAGCTGATGGATTCGAGCCGCGAGTATGTCATGCATGTAGAACGTCAGCTGATGAAGCTCGGTGCCTCCCACCGTGGTGCTTGTGGTGGGGGTTGTAGTCGCAGGCGGTGCCACAGGAGCAGCGGGATTGAGCGGTGCCGTCTGAGCTGGATTTGCTAATGATGGCACGGCATTGGGAGCGGACGAAGTCGCATCCTCGGTGAGAGATCGAGAACACGTGACGCATTGGATGACAAGAGCGGACAGAAGGAAAGAAGCTGCTGATTTTAGTTGAGCGGGCACAGACTTGCGAGCAGTCATTGAGCAAAATCAAGAGGGATTAAGCAAAATGACTCTTGAGAAGCTTTCTTCTTTCCTTTGTGAAGGAGATATTGGTGAATTGATGATGATTGTGAAGATGATGATCGGAGGAAGAAATAGTTGGGTTTATATGCTTAAATGGAGTGGCTGAGTTGGGTTTGGTGCTGGCAATGCATTAATCTTCCTTCGTGTTTCTGCTGGTGCTTTCGTTTAAAAAATAATTGCCAAGAAGACCGCCTAATCCTCACACCAGACCATTATTAATTCCCTGACTGGTCTGGAGCTAGCTTCTCTTTTCCTCCTTTTAGCCTTTTCTTTGTGTTGGGTACGTCCCCACTGAAGTTTCTCCGAACGAGAACGGATCAGAAAACGGTTACAAACTGCAGTTCGGTGAGGGGGAAATGGTTAGCTGTGAGAATACGCGGGTCGGCCTTTTCGTGTTTGTTTAGCGTTTCATCTTTTGTCTTGTCTCTCCTGCTTGCCTGCTTTGTATCATGTCACCTCCGTATTGCTCCGCTCCGACCCACAACGATTTCTGCTGCAGAGTCTTTGTCGACCCACTCGACCCTTTCCTCTGGGTTTGACTGCAGATTGTGTACTGTGGTGTAGAAATTTCTGGGGCAAACAAACAGTCGTGACGTTGCTTTCATGGCGTGTCCTTTTGGTGGCGTCAGCCCAAGTGAGCAAACACAGTCACGTAGCCGTTATCCGCGTTCCAGTCCTCCACTCCACACGATCCCCACACGCACATACATCTCTAGTCAAGCTTCACTCGCTATGCCTCCAATTTCCCCCCACAATCTCTCCGCTTTCCTCACCCACAATCCTCCCTTTCTGTCTCCCTTTCCCTCTCTTTATATATATCCCCCTTCCAAGCCCTCTTCACCATTCAAATCAACCCTCACCGCAACACAACTCTCTCTGAAATCTGCAGAGTTCAGAGAAGCTGATACGAAGACACACTCACTTACAACACAAGACATGCCGAGAAAAGGAATGAGGACCGGCTTCTTCAAGCCATCGCCCTCCGACTCTCCCGCAAGACCCATTACATCGATGCACGGCCATGACCCTTTCGCTGACACGTTAATGGCGGAGCGAATCTGTTAGTGTTTACGGAAGCGTGATTTGTTTTGTAAGTGAGTGAGTGATTTAGTGAGTGCAAGTGTTGGTACGTGGACTTGGAGCAACTATAGAACAGAACTGTACAACGGACTTAGTTTTTTCTTCTGATGGGCGTATCCTTCAAGTGGAGAGGGGTTGGCTATTTATAGCCCTCTTCCACTGCCATTAAGGAAATATCTAGAGCATGTTACATAGATATTTTTCTAAAGTTTTCTATATATATCACATTAGTCTTCTAGAAATATCATAGATATTTTCTAGAAACTCTTCTAGATATTTCTCACAACTTTCTAGACTATTCATCTAAATATCTATTCTGCAAAGATCTTGAGTGTAAAATATGGGTTCTGAAAAAAAGAAAAAAAGAAAAAAAAAAGGTCAACAAGTCAACAGAAGCTACAGTGGACTCTCGGCCAAATTAAAAAGGAGGCCGAGAGCTCCTTGGCTGAGAAAAACAGAAACGGAAAAGAGGAGAAAGGAGAGGAAAGGGAAGAAGAAGAAGAAAAAGAGAAGAGAGAAGAGGGTTTTGCATCGCGCGGACCTCGCCTAGCCGATTCGACTTCGAATCGCAACGCTCGGTAAGTACTCGCGCCCCTCGTTCGTTTGATTGGAGAAGTTTTCCGATTTAGGGTTTAAATTCGGAATTTTGGGAAATTCGAGTGGCGAAGTCTAATTTTTGAGTCGTTCAGCTGCATATTTTTATAGAATTGGTAGTTTATAGTGTTGCGGAGCCGTGGGGTTTTACGGAACCTGATTTGGACTTGCGATTTGCTGGATATGAATTTTTGAAGTTAAGTGCGCGCGGTGAACAGTACGCGAACAGTGGTTTTTAGGCCGATTTTCGTCGGTTTTCGGCTCGATTTTGGGACTGCCAAGTTGGGGTTCCTGTAGTGCTCCGAACAAGCTTTCTTTTGACTATAAACTTGCTTGGATTGGAGTTTACTGGAGAAAGTTATGGCGCAATCAAGTTTTGTGCTTAGGCATTGTATTGTGGGCGATTTTGGATAATCGCGTTAGACGAGCGTTTTGAGGGCGTCTTTTAGTCGTTATATTAGCATCTAAGCCTAGTTGAGCCGAGTCGTAGTTGAAGTAACATTTTACTCGGTTTTGATACCGTTTTTCGACTTATTGTTAGGTATTCAAGTGTGTCGGCTCGAGAAATCGCTGTAGGTTAGTTTTTCAGCTTTTCAAGGTGAGTGGTACTATTTCTTCTTTGAATTTGTAAACTCATATTTATAAAATGTTATGTATTAGACATGTTACCATATAAGAAATGGCATTTTGATTGCATAAAATTGGATCGAGCATTTACTGCCATTTTGTGTATTTAAAATGAAAGATTATCTTTTGATTTCGGTTTGAATTTACTGAATGCAAATAGATTTGCGAAACCTTTTGAGAAAGACTCATGAGGAGTTCTTGCATTTGAATGTGGCTTATGAAGGGTTTTATATCGGTTTATGAAATGGTTTATGAAATGATTTCTGGAATTGGTTTTGTAGATTGGTGGATGATATTGTTGTGGATTTTGGTGCTCAGTGTCTCTGTGAACCCAAATGAGGGGTTGTGGGTATGCGCATACTAGTCTAGGATATCCTTGTGGGCCGAGCCACCGGCTTATAGTAGGTGGAGACCTTGCCAAGGGGGGAATCTTGGTCGCCTTTCACGGGGCGTTATCCGTGATCATACTTAGATTTCTGAGCATGAGATTGGCCAATGGAATGGACCATTGGCGTGTGCTTTTCGACGAGATTGGCCAATGGATTTGACCATTGGTTTCTTCTTTGATATTATTAATTGGAATGAGCTTTCCTATTGTGAAAATGTGATGTTTAAAGTAGTATACAACGTATTTTGAATCTGGAGTTGGTTATATGTTGTGTTATTTGAGTTTTTGTTTAGTCTTACAACTGTGTGCATAGTAGGTGCTCGATCTACTTAGAAGAAATGTATTACTCACTGAGCCGTGGTAGCTCATTCCTCTCATCTAACTTGTTTTTCAGGTTCTTCACCGAGACGCTAGTAGGCGTGAGAGTTCCGGTGTCGGGGAGAACATTTTGATAGTTGGGACTTTTTGGTACGAGTTACACATGGATGTGGAGCTTAATGTACTTAGCTTTTTTTGGTGGATTGTAGTTAACTCTGATATTGTAACCAAATAAACTTTATATCATGTATATATGTGGTTGCATATATTTTGATATCATGTGAGTTTTGGTTATGTTTAGGCTGCGTCCTTTTGTTAAAGGATGGCCGTGTCATGCCCTTATTCTTGTTGAGTTTGGGGTGTGACATTTATTGGTATCAGAGCATAAGTTTTGATTTTTGGAGTATAGATACGAGACGTTGTGAGATTGTGTGATAGATTTTTGCGCTAGATTTTTTATATACTAAGTGGTATTTCATTCTTGGATTCAGGCGATCATGAGTTCTGACTCGGAGCCACTTGCCTCAGTTCTTAAGAAGAATAAAGGCAAGCGAGTCATTACTTCTGACTCTAGAGATATGCCTCAACGTTCTTAAGGTGTGACTTTAAAGAGGAGACGGGAGGACCAATATGAAGTGAGTTCCGACTCACCAGAAGCTAGGGAAGAACCCCAAGAGCCTAATCCCCCGACTGATTTCGCTCAAGCAATGATTCATCGGTATCGTCAAGCGAAGGAATTAAGTGAAGGTGGCACCACTGACTCATGCACCTTCGCACAATTCAGAAAGGCAGATCCACCTAAGTTTGATGGGAAGTTTGATCCTCTTAAGGCCGATGGTTGGATTAGAAGCATAGAGGAAATCTTTAGAGCGGAAAATGTTCATGACAATCAAAAGGTTAACTTTGCCACTCGTTATTTGGAAGGTGAAGCTATATGTTGGTGGCAGGGGACTAGACCTGCCCTTGGAGGTACTGATGTAATCATTTCCTGGAAGGACTTCACTGAAGCATTCAATGCCCAATTCTTCCCCGAGTCATTCCAAGCGAAGATGAGGAGTGACTTTGCAAATGTATCTCAAGGTAGCTCGTCAGTTATGGAGTATGCAGCCCGCTTTAATCAGCTTAGTAGATTCGAGGAAGGCTTCGTGGCTAGTGAAAAGCGGAGGGCAGAACACTTTCAGCGAGGACTTCGACCTGATATTCGCAGTATTCTCACGCCTTTTGTGCTGACTACGTATAAAGATGTCTTGGATCGAGCGATTAGGGTGGAGCAAGACATGTTGGAGAGCGGCGTATAGGGTACACCTCAGTACAGGAGGTTTAAGCCCACTGATTATCATGATAGTCGGACCAATAGTAGCAAAAAGCAGAGGGATTTCAATCAGTCAGGAAGGCCCAAGATTCAGAGTAATCCGGGTCCTTGTGCTACTTGTGGCAAGCGTCATAGCGGTCCTTGTTACCGCAAGACAGGAGCTTGCTTCCTTTGTGGGAAAATGGGACATATGGCACGTGATTGTCCTACACAGAAGGATATCCCTGGAGATAATAGAGTGTGTTTTGTTTGTGGGCAGCCTGGGCACCTAGCATCTGCTTGTTCTATGAGGAAAACTGCATCTTCAGCTGGTAGGCCCCAAGGAAATCAGGAAAGGCAAAAGACGACTGGGAAAGTTTTTGCGATAACAAAGGAGGATGCAGCGGCGTCCAACGCAGTTGTTGCAGGTAATATTTGTATTGCCTCTCAATATGCGTATGCACTATTTGATCCGGGTGCTACGCATTCCTTTATTGCCATTGACTTCGCAAGGAAACTTGATGTGTTGCCTGAGCCTCTTGAGCATGAAATGTATGTTGATACTCCTACTGGAAATTTCCTGATTGCTAACCGTGTGTTCAAGAGATGTTTGCTCCAGATTAATGATGTAGTATTACCTGTCGATTTGGTGGAGTTAGATATACGGGATTTCGATGTTATTTTGGGAATGGATTGGTTATCCACATATCATGCAACTGTTGATTGCTATTCTAAGAAGGTTGTCTTTCGACTTCCAAATCAACCCGAATTCTCTTTTTCGGGAAGTTGTAAAGACACTTTGCCAAGATTGATATCAGCTTTACAAGTGAGGAAGCTTTTGAGGAAGGGTTATTGTGGTTATGTGGCTTGTGTAAAAGACACAAGTAAAGATGTTGTAAAGCTTGAAAATATTCCTATTGTCAGAGAATTTCCAGATGTGTTTCCTGAAGATTTGCCTAGCTTGCCTCCTGATAGAGAGATTGATTTTTTTTATTGATTTGATGCCTGGTACTACGCCTATCTCTAAGGCGCCATATCGGATGGCACCGTCTGAATTGAAGGAATTAAAAATTCAGCTGCAGGAGTTGTTGGATAAAGGTTTTATTAGACCCAGCGTTTCGCCTTGGGGAGCTCCGGTTCTTTTTGTGAAAAAGAAGGATGGTAGTATGCGGCTTTGCATCGATTATCGAGAACTTAATAAGGTGACGATCAAGAATAAATATCCTTTACCTCGGATTGACGATTTGTTTGATCAACTTCAGGGAGCTCAGGTATTTTCTAAGATTGACCTTCGTTCTGGGTATCATCAGTTGAAGATAAAGGCAGATGATGTACCTAAAACTGCTTTCAGGACGAGGTATGGCCATTATGAATTTCTTGTCATGTCTTTTGGATTAACAAATGCACCTGCTGCTTTCATGGATTTGATGAATAGGGTGTTCAGGCAATATCTTGATAAGTTTATTGTGGTATTCATTGATGATATTTTGGTGTATTCGAAGAGTTTGGAGGAACATAAGCAACACTTGAGGTTTATGTTGCAAACTTTGCGTGAAAAGAAGTTGTTTGCTAAATTCAGTAAGTGCGATTTCTGGCTTGATCATATAGAATTCTTAGGCCATATAATCTCGAAGGATGGCATTTCGGTTGACCCGAGGAAAGTTGAAGCAGTTGTCCAATGGAGTCGCCCTACCAATGTCACTGAAGTGAGAAGTTTTCTTGGTCTAGCTGGCTACTATAGGCGGTTCGTGGAGGGATTTTCTAAACTTGCCGGTCCACTTACTCGCCTAACTCAGAAGAGAGTTAAATTTGTATGGTCCGATCAATGTGAGCATAGTTTCCAAGAGTTGAAGAGACGGTTAGTGTCGGCTCCTATATTGACATTGCCTTCAGGTACTAGTGGTTTCACAATCTACTGTGATGCATCTAAGGAAGGTTTAGGTTGTGTTCTTATGCAGAATGGTAAAGTTATAGCCTATGCCTCTAGACAGTTGAAAGTACACGAGAAAAACTATCCCACTCATGATTTAGAGTTAGCAGCGGTTGTGTTTGCCTTGAAGATATGGCGGCACTACTTGTATGGTGAGAAATGTGAGGTCTTTACTGATCATAAGAGTTTGAAGTACATCTTTACTCAGAAAGAATTAAACATGAGACAGAGGAGATGGCTAGAACTCTTAAAGGATTACGACCTGTCTATCAATTACCATCCAGGTAAGGCAAATGTAGTAGCCGATGCCCTAAGTCGTAAATTTTATGGAAACATGGCTACATTGCTCACTTCTCAGAAGCCTATTCTTGAGGATATGAGGAAGTTGGACTTGGAGGTATTGGTACATCAGCTTGGTGCTCGATTAGCTAATCTTCAAGTACAACCAATGTTGATTGATAGAATTAAGGCTAAACAGAATGGGGATTCTCAGTTGGGAAAGATTAGAGAAGGAGTAGAAGCTGGGAGACAAAAGGACTTCAGTATCCATGCGGATGGGTCATTGAGGTTTCATGGTCGGCTATGCGTTCCTGATGATTCGGGATTGAAAAAAGAGATATTGCAGGAAGCTCATAGTACGAGATTCTCTATCCATCCGGGAAGCACTAAAATGTACAGGGATGTGAGAGAGAATTTTTGGTGGATCAACATGAAGAAAGATATCGTGAAATTTGTTGACCAGTGTCTGGTTTGCCAGCAAGTAAAGATTGAGCATCAGAAACCAGGTGGACAGCTACACCCACTTGAAATACCTAAGTGGAAGTGGGAGCATATTACCATGGACTTCATCGTCGGTCTACCGAGGACACCTAGTGGTAAGAATGCTATATGGGTGATTGTCGATCGATTGACTAAATCTGCTCACTTTTTGTCATATCGATTCGGTCTTTCACTTGAGGATATGGCGAAGCGGTATGTTAATGAGATAGTGAAGCTTCATGGGGTGCCAGTGAGCATTGTTTCTGACAGGGATCCCAGGTTTGTGTCTAACTTTTGGAAGAGTTTGCAAGGAGCATTGGGTACTAAACTCAACTTTAGCACGGCTTTTCACCCGCAAACAGATGGACAGTCTGAAAGAACGATTCAGACATTAGAGGACATGCTAAGATCCTGTGTTATTGACTTTGGCGGTTCGTGGGACGAACACCTTCATTTGGCGGAGTTTTCTTATAATAACAGCTATCATTCTAGCATCAAGATGGCTCCTTTTGAAGCTCTATACGGTCGAAAATGCAGAACTCCCGTATGTTGGGATGATGTTGGTGAGAAAAGATTAACCGGTCCAGAGTTTATTCAGCAGTCAGAAGAGAAAGTCAGGGTGATTCGAGAGCATTTGAGAACAGCACAAAGCCGTCAGAAAAGCTATGCTGACCTCAAAAGACGCAAGGTAGAGTTCAATGTGGGAGATCATGCATTCCTCAAAGTCTCTCCAATGAAAGGCGTTATGAGATTTGGCACTCGTGGTAAGTTAAGTCCAAGATATGTGGGACCATTCTTAATATTAGAGAAAATTGGTGAAGTTGCTTATAAATTGGCTTTATCACCAGCGTTATCGGGCATGCATGATGTGTTCCATGTGTCTTTATTGCGAAGATATGTGCCAAATCCTGAACATGTGCTTGACTTTACACCTTTGCGGTTAAAGGAAAACCTATCGTATGACGAGCAACCAGTACGCATTGTTGATAGAAAAGATCAAGTGCTACGACAATGCACTATTCCTTACGTAAAGATTCAATGGCAAAACCACACTGAGAGGGAGGCCACTTGGGAGCTTGAGGAGGAGGCAAGACGCAAATACCCTCACTTGTTCGATGATTGAGGCACGTCTAAATTTCGCTCTAAATTTCGAGGGCGAAATTTTTTTTAAGGAGGGGAGAATGTAAAATATGGGTTCTGAAAAAAAAAAAAAAAAAAAAAGGTCAACAAGTCAACAGAAGCTACAGTGGACTCTCGGCCAAATTAAAAAGGAGGCCGAGAGCTCCTTGGCTGAGAAAAACAGAAACGGAAAAGAGGAGAAAGGAGAGGAAAGGGAAGAAGAAGAAGAAAAAGAGAAGAGAGAAGAGGGTTTTGCACCGCGCGGACCTCGCCTAGCCGATTCGACTTCGAATCGCAACGCTCGGTAAGTACTCGCGCCCCTCGTTCGTTTGATTGGAGAAGTTTTCCGATTTAGGGTTTAAATTCGGAATTTTGGGAAATTCAAGCGGCGAAGTCTGATTTTTGAGTCGTTCAGCTGCATATTTTTATAGAATTGGTAGTTTATAGTGTTGCGGAGCCGTGGGGTTTTACGGAACCTGATTTGGACTTGCGATTTGCTGGATATGAATTTTTGAAGTTGAGTGCGCACAGTGAACAGTACGCGAACAGTGGTTTTTAGGCCGATTTTCGTCGGTTTTCGGCTCGATTTTGGGACTGCCAAGTTGGGGTTCCTGTAGTGCTCCGAACAAGCTTTCTTTTGACTATAAACTTGCTTGGATTGGAGTTTACTGGAGAAAGTTATGGCGCAATCAAGTTTTGAACTTAGGCGTTGTATTGTGGGCGATTTTGGATAATCGCGTTAGATGAGCGTTTTGAGGGCGTCTTTTAGTCGTTATATTAGCATCTAAGCCTAGTTGAGCCGAGTCGTAGTTGAAGTAACATTTTACTCGGTTTTGATACCGTTTTTCGACTTATTGTTAGGTATTCAAGTGTGTCGGCTCGAGAAATCGCTGTAGGTTAGTTTTTCAGCTTTTCAAGGTGAGTGGTACTATTTCTTCTTTGAATTTGTAAACTCATATTTATAAAATGTTATGTATTAGACATGTTACCATATAAGAAATGGCATTTTGATTGCATAAAATTGGATCGAGCATTTACTGCCATTTTGTGTATTTAAAATGAAAGATTATCTTTTGATTTCGGTTTGAATTTACTGAATGCAAATAGGTTTGCGAAACCTTTTGAGAAAGACTCATGAGGAGTTCTTGCATTTGAATGTGGCTTATGAAGGGTTTTATATCGGTTTATGAAATGGTTTA